AAAAAAAAAAAAAAAAAATCAAGAGAACAAGGTAGACTTAATTTTCAATTCTGGCTCCATCTTTCTATCCCACCATCTTACAATTTCTTTAAAAAAAATGAGCAACCTGTGTTTCAGAAAAATCAAGTCAATTTTTCCTAAAGTCACAAGTTTAATAAAGAGTAGAGAATTAGAAGGGAAGACTGATACCAAGACTATATCTTTTCCAGTTCATCCAAAGGGACAGATTATAGTTCCAATATGACTCAAAAGGTAATATTAAAAGAATGAACTTCTTTCTAAGGATAAACCCTGATGACGTTTTCCCTAAAACTGTATAAGCTACAGCTCCCAAAGAGATTTTTTTTTTCTTGGTACTGGGGATGACTCAAGACCTTGGGCTTGTGAAGCATATGGTGGCACCACTGAGCTAAATCCCTGGCCCATAGTGATTTTTTTAAAAAAATGATAATTCATACAATTTGAATTCTGCCAGTTACTACCGAGGAGACCTGGGACAACTTATCTAGATCTGTAAAATACACTGTTAATATTTTGATTGGGACTTCATTGAATCTATATAACAGTTTTGGAAGTGTGGTTACCTCGCGTGTACCTTGCTTCCATGATTGTTTATTTATCCCCAAAATAATATGTTCTGTCTCTACTATACAACAAGCATTACTGTTGTAAGATATGAATAATATGGTGCCTAGACATCATGAATCATAGTTCATAACACATTGTAACAGCTCATTTAGATAAAAATACTTTATTATTAATAAGAATAAAAGGGATTCTGCTTTACACAGGAAAATAAGAGATTTAAATTTTGAGAGGATGAAAGTAACAGTATCCATTTTATTTGGATAACATTTACATAGCATAAAATTAACCATTTTAATGTATTCACTTAAATGTCATTTAGTACATTCACAATGCTGTGAAGCTATCACTTCTATATAGTTTCAAAACATTCTCATCTCTCCAAAAGGAAATCTCATAGGCGTTACAAAGCAATCACTTGCTGTTCCCTCCTCCTTCCCTCCTTGCCCCTCCAAGTGAGCCATTCATCTACATTCTGTCTATGTATTTACCTATTTACATGTCATGTAAATAGCATCACATACTGTTGCCTCTTTGCAACTGGTTGCTTTCAGTCAGCATAATGTTTTCAAGATCCATTCACACTGTAGTATACAACAGTGTAACTGCACATAGTGTAATTCACTCTTTTTTCATTTTAATTTGTTGGTACATGTTTGTGATCCATGCAGTTTATAGTTATCTTGGGGAATGTTTACATGTACATTTTATAGCTTTTTTAAAAATCCACTTCCCCTTCCCTCCCACTCTCCCCATCTCTTTTGTTTCTCCAATCACCTTTTTCATACCTGTTGATACTATTTGTCTTAGCACATGTTATGGCTTATAATGTTTACCTTGGTTAGGGTTATAAATTCTTGTACACAGCATATCTTTATTCCTCTCAGTTTCCTTTCCCCCTCCCTTCTCACTCTCCTTGTTCCCTTGGTCCATTTTTCTATTGGATGAGGTCTGTCCCCTTGTCCCTTTCTATCCATCTTGTATCATTCT